TTTCTAGTGAGAACCAGTCGTAACTAGTGGGGTCCCCTTATGTAGTTGGGTGTGAGGACAAATGCTTTTCGATAAAATTATCACTGGCTGGCGATAGCGTGACGTATATCACGAATTCTGACGGCTCAAGTGAATGAATTGTTCTGCGTGACCTTAAGGTTCCTAAGTCTACCCTCAACGACAGGTGGGTACTTCTGAAGAGTCTGAGACAAGGATGGACTAAATCTGTTCAGTACTCATATTAATTATCAGTGGTTCTGTCAAACTTTTGTTTTCCTTCACGTTTCCCCGTGGAACATAGGGCACCTTCAAGCTAATGGCTTGAATTTTCTATAGCAGTGTTTGTTCTGCAGGATGAGGTTGCTAGCCTCATGCCCAACCTTTCCTCTTTACCAGGATTATTTCTCGCTTAGCGAGGTAAAGTAGTGCGTCGGCCGGGAATCGACCCCCGGACCATGTGCACGGCTTGCGAGTGTCCTAACCGCTATGCCACCGAAGCAGTCTGTCAAACTTGGGACAAATGTATTCCCCACTAACTAACTAACGAAAGCCTGACAATTATTCTGATGCTCACTACAGGACGAAATTGATCGATCTATGAAGACGAATACTCACTAACACTGAAAGTAGCTGGTGGTGACACGTAAACACTGCAAACTGACAGAGTTCAGAATTCATGAATAACTGAACTCCTGTCCAAGTGAATGATTACTGGTCTACCAGCTTGACTTCGGAACCCGTAGGTCATGAGTTTGATCTCTGGTGGTTTGAATCATGGGTGTCCACTGATGAAGCGTCACAAACTGTCTCGAAACAATTCTATTCAGTAATCTCTGCTCGTTTTCAACAGGGAGCTTAATAATAATTCTGATGTTCATCTGTCGTGACTCACTGCAGAACAAAGTTTCCAGGAGTGAGTTTATATGAGAATCAGTTGTAACCGTTGGGATGCACCAATTACTCAAGTGAGAGGTAAAATACTCTCCGACAATTATACTGGCTAGCAATGACTTTAGTCAACCTAAACTAACAGGATTTAGAATTCACAGGTCATTGGATTTCGGTCCATTTGGCTGAATGGTCAACAAAGTTGGCCTTGTCAACTGTAGGCCAAAGGTTTGAAACCCAATAAGTGCTTGTCACTAAAGTCTACCTAAATGGGACGAAACAGTTTTGGCCAGTACTCTGTGTAGACGATCTTCATCAATGGTTGTCTCCAGCAGAAATCAATCTTTCTCATCTGTCACTTCTTTATCGTTAGTATTTATTTATTTTTTCTGTAGAAGAAACTTGAGTGACTCGCTAAAAATTGGTTTTGTTTTAACAAAGTTTCCAGTATCTCACACACCCCTCTCATTTTTCAATAAGTGTTTTTTTCCGGAACTACGGAAAGAAAAAAACTCCAACTTTCTCATGTTAAAACACCCCAAACTCCAAAGTGTTGTTTCTTCTTTGTGTAGGTGTCAGATTGGTGGAAGGGAGGGAGAGAGGTTTGATTCATGGAAGTACACACTTTATTTATGGACTTTCTGAAAAGAATAATTACATCATATCCGTCAAGTTTTAAGGCAGATTGGGAAAATAAAAATTTCACTTTAGAAAGTAAACAAACTTTAGAAAATCCGGGGGCGCGGGGGAATGTTGTGTTACTTTATTCCTCTTCTCACCTATCACTCCCCTCATCCTCCCCGGACCAGCACCTGTAATTGTTTACGAAGTAACCATTAAAATATGATATCCTTTTTGAATTGACTATTGACAATTGAACATATGCGTGTAGTTTTGTTTAACTGTACTGTTCAAGTGTTTTGATTCAATTCAAAAATGTTTTTCTAAAAATTTCAGGTGTTTATTAGAAATTTTGTTTGGCTAAAAGTTTGGTCATAAGCTGACTGATTTCAGTTAGAAGATTATTTAGAATATCCTTCAGAGAGTATTGAACATAATTTTTTCATCCCAACCTAGGACTCTTCGGTAGTAGTAGTAGTAGTAGTACGCACCTACAGAGGTTCGAACCCAGGACTTTCTGGTTAAAAAAGCGAGCTTGTAAACCCATTCAGTGACTGGGACATAATCCAATAGCCTATGAATTCTAAAGCCTCACCTCCGTAGAAGAGTGGAGGAAAGTTGGTTTGGGTGGGCGGTTAGCAAATCCACTCCACGTGTGGTGGGACTTTGCAGTAATTTGAATTTTAAAAAATCTGTTTATAATTGTAACAGGTGTGCTGACATATATATATATGATAAAAGATTTAGGTCTCCAAATGGATTGTGTGTATTTTGGCACATCATAATTGTTGTTCCCTTTGGTTCCAAGTGGAATACAGGCCTTCAACAACACATCTTCACTTTGTTCTATTCTCTGATGCATTCTTCATCTGGCTGGCTCCATGATTACCGCCCATAATCTCTCATATCTTCATTCTCCTCCTCCTCACTGTCACACGACATCCTCCACGTCATCCTCGCACCGAACACCCACTCATCTCCTCACATTGGGATTCCACCCGAGTAATAGCCTGCATTGTGCGCGATGTCATTCTACGGCCTCCTCAGTAGCGTATACACAACCGATTAATCCACCTCCATTTTCTCCTACATGTCTGTTGAGCGATCGGCTATCGCCTGTTGGTTTGTCCCACTGCGGCATTTCTTGTAACTAATTCTTTTTTGGCCAGCCAGCCGGTTGGCAGGTCATTTGATCTTCAGTGTGAAGCCAGCCAGGGAAGGTGGCAGCTATTGATAAAAGTGTGCACTCGCCTGTTGAAAATCCTTTTCGTGGCATATGCTTGATCTTATTGTATACTTGTCCCGTTCAATAGTTAGTTAGCTCAAATCGGATGCCTACAAAGTACCTCTTGAAAATTAACTTTCCCCAAGTGACTCAAAAAAGCGGAGATGCTGAAGATAAAACCAACCACCAACGAGAGAAACAAAAACAGTAACCAGCACCAATCACTATCATTGGAAAGAAAAATTTGAAAAAAGGTCACTTCTTTCATCTATCTAGCCAACAAGCATTGTTTCAACTACAGGTAGCCGGAATGGATTCAGTTGTCAAAGGCAGCCAGAATCAGAATGTCAGCGTACATCTACAACACTCTGGAATCAGTTTGAAATCGTGTCAAATTCAGCATAACGAATAAGATTTTGATTTTCAACACAAATGTGAAGTCAGTCAGTCCTTCTTTTTGTGGGTCAGAAACTTGAGTCATTGCTACACCCATTTTCCACGGGTTGCAGACTTTGATTTTCAGCTGCCCCCTTCACTGGTTCCATATTGAAGATAAACTGTGTAGAAAGAATCATCAACAAGAAACTCCGAAAAAGAAAAACAGCCAAGAACCCTGCGCTCAACATATATGCTGAAGAAAATGAATATGGATTAGGCACACGTTGAGGGGACCAATGAATGACATCGTGTGCCGGGTCATTCCTTAAGTGGAATGCGAACGGCAAACGAAGAGTCGGGCTTGGATTCCAAGCTGATATGGAGGGAAGAGAGTATAGTCAATCGCTGGGCCAACTAATGAGGACTGCAGAGAATAGGATACTGTGGAGATATTCTGTTGAAGGCCTGTATACCATTCGGAACCCAAGGCAACAATTATAATAAGGATGTTAAAATCACTAGTGGCTGACTACATCATTAAGTTTACCGGATCTCTAGAGAGAAGTAGTGACCGGATATGAGAACAAATATCCGTCGATGATATGAGCTGGCAGTAGCGCCACATAAATCACAAAATGACTGTAGTTAGGATTCACGGGTGATTTAGTTCCTGCTAAAATGGCTGACAGCTAGCCTAGTCCTGCAACTCGATCCTTGATGGAGTCGTGAATGCGCATCGTTGAAGAGTTTCGAAGTTTTTATGAAACAACTGTCCAGTACACCCTGTTGGTTATCAGTGGTTCTCTAACTGGTATCAATCCGTCATCATTTCTGAGATAAAACAAACCGCTATGAACTAACTCTTGAAATGTGAGTTGGAAAGTTCTCTGTGTTGAATCAGTCTTCGCGTAATGTCAATAGGCTTGTCTTCCTAATCTCTTCCCTTTCAAGAAGACCTTCATAACGTTATATTTACCCTTCAAATGTGGACCGAAAGTTCCATACTTACATGTTTGTATCCCATCAGATATAACTCTCAGAAGGAGAGTAATTGCACGTTATACCACCAGTAATAACAATAAAAATGAAGCTTTATTTTAGACGATATGTGAACACACAGAAATGACATTTTCAACGTACTTACTTCCAATATAAATCCTCCTCATTTTTGATGCATGAAAATTCTGGTAGCACAGTGAACTAATTAGATTGATGTAAGTCATCGTTACGATTCGAGAAAATAGAAACCTCAAAATTACAATATACCTTCCATCAAAAATCTAACATTACTAGACAGAGAATTGCAGAAAAACAGCCAGGAGTGTTACATAGAGCTGTTTCGTCCTAGTATAAGACTCTTCATCAATGTTTAGACGAACGTTAAACATTCATTCAGTTATGAAGCTAACTCGTTGACTATTTAACTAATTGGTCCGGAGTTAACGATTTGTGAATTCTAACTTCTTTCAAATTTTCGGATATGCTGCCATCGCCAACGATTGATACCAATGATCATTCACTTCAACCTGACAAGATAGACACCATAGGTCATTCATTAATTTGTAGAAGACAGAATTCAAGGGGAATTGAATTCCGACTCAGTCCTCACTGGTCAGAAACGGGCCTAGTGACCAGAAAATATTGCAGGTACGGTTCCTGGTGGAATTTTGAGTATGCGTCAACTGTCTAGTGCTGCCCGAACTGGTTCGTGACGAAATCTAACCGGGGAAATCATTTCGACTTCCTACACGAACCTATAATCTGGAAATCTCAAGAGTATGCACTATGCAGCAGAATTCAGTTTTAGCTCTTCAGACAATAACTCCATTTTCCACTATTAAAATTGATTTTTTTTCCATTTCTTTCTCTATATTTTCTCACCGTTTAGCTGCCCCACCTGGTTATCCACGATTTTTAAATTCTTTCTCTGTGATTGTTGCACGTAAAAATGCTGAAGTCGAGCTGGAATGTCGAGCGACTGGTGAACCTCCTCCAATCATCACATGGTTTAAAGACAGTGTACCAATCGATTTGAATAATCCAAGATATAAGAAATTAGGTAAGTATTGATTATTATTTATTATTATTATCTATTATATAGATACATTTATGCAACATTTTATTTACAGAACCTTATAATACTACTGTATTCGTTGTGAGTAGTCTAATGTCATCTAAAACGTGAATAAGTGAAAAATCCGTTTTTCTTCATACACTTTTGGATGAGAACTGTTGCTGAGTACTTCCTTTTTATGGGAAAACTTAGTGAAGCCACTGAATTGAAGACAGGGGTAAGATAAGGCTCTCTGCCTACCACCATCAATCATATCTCTGATTACTGTGGTCTGGATCATGAAACAGACAGCGGAAGCACGATGACAGGTGTATATGTTAGATGAATAGAACGACAGTAGAAGATCTGAACTTCGAAGAGGATTTTTTGTCTAATGTTATACAACCAGTGAGTTGGATGTGACCACTGACCAGTGGTATCGGTGTACATCCTCTTGATAAGAAATGTGGTGGTCTTCACTGAATATGACATCTTATTCAAAACTCAGGATATCTGTCCAGGAACTACTAATTAGCTGAATAACTAAGGTGTTTTTGTGTGACGGGGGTCGAGTTAATTTTAGTTTGTAGGCCTCCTTACTAACCGATGTATTGGTTAAGGAAATCATTAAACTCCAGGAAGCACTGGATACAGCTGTTTCATCTTAGTTATATAGTGGCTCCTAAACCGCGGGCATCCATGATCCCAACCACTAGAGGTCAAGGCCAGGAGCTTCAGGTTATAAAGCCACCCCATTGACCACCCAACGACCTATAAATCCTAACTTCTGTAAATTTACAATTTAACGCTACCACCAAATAATGAGATCGATAGACAGACATCAGCGGATGTGATTTAATGAAGAGTCCCAGGGTGGGCAGAAACACGTGTTCAGTGATCCCTGGTTTACACTAACTTTCGAAATTATGTCAGTTAATAGCAAATGTATATTAAAATTAAAAGCCTGAGCTTTATATACAGTAATATACGTGGTTATTTTGTTAGTTAAGACTACCCTTGATGTCAAAACCAGACAGATTCTTAGCGCATCAGCTAATCCCAAATCACAAATTGGCAGATGTTGGAATTCATGGATTGGCTACTGAATCAGTTCCCATTGGCTTAATAGTCTACAAGCTTGACTTGTAACCGGAAGGTCCCAGAATCAAACCGCAGTCGTGAGTGCGTATTGCTGAAAAATCCCAAACTTGGCCAATAGTAACCTAACTTATGCAATTCAACTCTTCAGCAAAATTAATCTGATGCTCGCTAGTGACTACTGAGAGCAGGATAAAGTTGCCTGGAGTTCTAATGAGAAATCGTGACTAATGGGAGAAACTTGGTGTGGAGTGAGGAAAAATACTCGACGAAATTCACACTGGCTAGAAGTCAGGCTAAAATCACGAATCGGTAGATGTTAGAATTCATGGGCTAGACATTGATTCGCGTCCCGGTGAGTGTGAGTGCTGCAATGAGTCCTGGCCCTCTTGTATAGTGTTTGTATGCAATTTCTTTTGTGCGTCATTGGATTGTTGCTGTTGTAATTCAGGAAAAAACCAGTAACACACCAAAGGAATTGTATACAAACACTATTCAAGAGGACCTGACTCATTGCGCAGCACTCCCACCCTAAGGAAAATTGAAGGAACATTTCTTATGACGTCTTCCAAAGGAATGGATATCCACGGAATTTCATCAAACATCTACCCCCAAGCCAACCTACCAAATCAAAGGCCGCCAAGGAAAGCGCAAAGAAAATCGCCCTACCATATATAAAAGGCGACATCTCAGAAATCACTACAAGACTCTTCAAACACGTTTAGGAATTGACGTCGCATACAAACCAACAAAATTACTCCACTCAGCTGGTTCTATGTCAGCCAAAAGACTCAGCAATGAAGGAAAATAAAACCAATATCATCTACAAAATAAGGTTCAATGACTGCAAAAAAATACTACATTGGCCAAAGTGCACGACGTCCCTTCGTCTTCTTCGTATACATGAACACAAACTAGCTGTCAAAAGGTATGACATCCACTCCCTCATTCATATTGCCTCGCTGCATACAGACAAACACTGACATCAATTCGACTGGATTAACCAGCGTTCAAATATTAGACGGAAGAAACACTAAGAATGCTAGAGAATTTTTAAAAGGCTGCCTGGTATTCCAGTGAATCATAAATCAATAGAGATACATCGATATAGACAAAATTTATCAATCAATAAGAAGGAAATCTCACACAAACACCTGAAGGTCACACTTCAGGTCAAGGGAACAGTCAGTGAAAAACTACAAGTAGTCTACGGGGTGTGAAAACATACAAAAGCAACCAAAGAGTCACGTTCAAGGTCACCCACCGTGAGAGATGACTAACGAACTCGTGGAAAAATCTAAAAGTTCACTTCAATTCAAATTGTAGTATGCTCTGAAGATGTTGTCTAGTAGGGCAATGAAAGCTTTGCAAATTAACTATCCAGCTCAGTAAAACACAAGCACATCAAAATCATCCACTTGAGCTACAAATTAATTGTGCATTCTGTTCAATAATATCACTTTCTTGACACCCACTGAGGATATAATAACAATAATAATAATAATTTGCTTTATTCCAGAAACAGTACTACAAGGTACAGTGTGGAATTTTCAGCACATATCTACAATATTGCATCTAATTTCATCGCACATTTAAAAGGAGTATTACAAAAAATAAATATAAAAAACAACAGAAACCGAAAATAAACACAAAAATAACAAAAAAAATGCAAATAAAAATACCAAGTTGAAAGGAAGATAAACACCGATAATGAATAATATTTCAGTATTTGGTAGTGGAAGCTATGATATGTGTATGCGTGGTGAACAGTAACAGCTATAATCATACAAGAAGCTATGGGATGTTCTTAAGAATGTTCATAGCCAAGATGATCAGTTAATTTGATTGAACAACACTAAACAATCATAAAATAAACATTTCAGGTTGTTTTTTTTTATTGTCAGCACTGATGCAGTGTTTGTTGTGGTAGTGTGAGTAATCCTGCATAATACAAAAATTTTTAGGATGGTGATAACGGCGTTCACAACCAAGATTGTCAGTTTAATATTGCCGAACAAAAAACAATCACAAAACTAATATTATATGATGGTTAATGACAGGACAATTTTGTAATACTCATAGCGCTAATATCGTCGGGACCAGTAGATGCACAAAAGAAGGAATAGAATAAAGTACAAAAAGTAAACCAATGATAATAATTTTAGGTAGCTAAGTATGTTTAAGAAGGTTGTTCACTATAGAGTACAAATAAGAGGGTAAAGGGGGAAATAACAAGGGCCAAAATTATGTTATTAACAACAAAGCAAGTCATAAGTTTCACGCTTAACATTGTCTCTGTCACTCAGAACACGGGCCAAATGTGGTATCGTTGAGTTCCTTTACTTGGTTGTACGAGCATATATTGTTTTGTACTGATTTCTGGTTGTACCTGATGAGATACAAGGAGAGAGTTGGGGATAGAGGGGATGTTGCTGCAGGTCGGAGAGTATGGTTTCAGACCATTTTTCGCATGTATTCAGACGCGCCTTTCTACCAATGTAGTGACGAGCTTCTGACTGAGTTTTACACCACTAGTCCTACTAACTACCTTCAACATCCTTCTCAGGATAATATGGTCCTTTTTCAGTAACCCAGGAAAGACTAATGGGAAGCAGTAAAGTAGAATAGGTAAGATACGAGAGTTGACAAATTGTGAAAGCAGAGGTTGAGTGATTCCAGTTTGTCTGAGTTTCTTAATGTAGTTAGACGGTTAAACGAAACACTTTCTCAGAAGTCGTTTGGATATGAGATGATGACCAAGTAAGGTGGGAAGATGTAACTAGACCCCAAGGTATTTTGTATTAGACTTAGTTTCAATTTTAGTCCCCTCACTGCTACAGGCTTCATGAGTACTTACTAGTGTTTGTAGATCTCGTTTACGCCTAAAGGAGAAGTCAATAGTCTGGCATTTTGAGGGATTCAGCATGAGGCCATTTAGTTTAGAACACTGACTGATGTCCAACTGAGAACTGAGAAACAGTTATATACACACGCACACACACACACAATCACACAGTAGCACACACATTCTGAGATCACAGTGTTAGAATAAACAAGTCAAGAAAACAGGAAGATGTGGGGGAGCAGGTGAATAAATCATGTTAAAAACATTTTTTTTTCTGGATACACTATTATACACTGAATTCATCATAACAGGAGGTGGTGGCAACAGGTGAATGAAATCAACATTGAAGTATATTTCCTTTTTGTGAGGATAATAACTAGCCGGGAAAATCTTTGTTTCATGTCTTAATACACTGACAAATATTACACACATTCACATTGGGATATATGTATGTGCACAACACAAACACCAACTATGAAAACTATTGAATGTTCAAAACACATAAAAATATTAGACAGAAAGACAGGATGAGAGAAGGAATGAGGTGTTTTTTCTAAACAAAAACAGCAACCCTCTTTTGGTAAAAAAGGAAATTCGTGATTTAGCGCGACCCCAACCATTGTCGTTGGTGGGACATCCATCCACACACGAGCTTGCCTTGTAACCGGAAGGTCCCGGGTTCGAATCCCAGTGGGTGCGTACTGCCGATGATTCCCAAACTAGGATGAAACAGCAGCTGTCCAGTACTCCCTGGTTTTCAATGGTTATCTAACTGCTATCAATCCGTGATCAACCCGTAAAACATAACTAATCCTTACAAACCAAACTATAAAAAAGGAAATGAAAATTTTTCTTCACGAGTTGATTTGTTTCAGCATTTGATTTGTCGTTGAAGTTTGTACTATAGACTGATATCAGTTGAAGAAGAAGAAGAAGAAAAAACACCAAAAATCCGGGAGTACTGGATAGCTGTTTCATCCTAGCCTGGTACTCATCAGTAGTAAGTAGCCACAAGATTTCATGGGTCATTGAGTAAGGTAACACACTGGCTGAATGCCTTACA